GTGAAAGGAAACTTCTGAGAAAAAGGATCAGGCTCTTCCTCCTGCTCTCTTTCTAGACAACCCTCACCACGAACCTATGTCAACAACGGTCTTCTCGTCGGCACCGTTATTGTTGATCTTTGGGCAAGGTATGACCACGAACATGACTGCTGATGACTAGCAAGTATTTTTTATACTATTTTTGTAGTCGTCGAGCTCCTCTTGTCGGCATGAAGAGATGGATGCTCTCTGGCCAAAATCCATTCTTTCTGGCATACAACCTTGATTTTTTCTACAGATCTACACTTCTATCTTGTAGATCTAACTTTTTTTTTTTTTGTGTGTGTGTTTTTTTAACTTGTAGGGTCCAAATCTCCTGCTCACTCGTGCAAAGGTAAGATATCCTAACTATTTTCAAATCCAAAATGATGAACAACTATTATAGATCTACTATAAGCTCTGTATTTTTTCGATTTTATGGTCATTTTTTTTTCAATATGGTACGTTTTAGGTTGAGATTTGTATCGTTTTTGTGAATTTTGGGTTTGAGGTATGTATCAGTTTTCTCACTCACGCAAAGGTAACAATGTTGATAGGAACAATGATTTGTGTTCATTTATTTCCTTTTTTTTTTGTGAATAGCAGGGTGTATTCGATACATTATTGGGATGAATACCATCATGTGATAGATGGCTGCTTTGCTCTGAATTTTTGGATAAATACAAAACTTTTGTCTTGCTGATTTTGGCATGAATACAAACCAATTTCTTGTGCTGATTTTGGTGTGAATACAATGTCAAGCAATTGAAAACATCACATTGCAAAACTGACCGATTTTCTCAATAAACAAACAAACATAGGAAACTGATTATTTAGCATATTGTTTCTCAGGAAACAAACACGAGATGCAAATCTAAGAAAAATATTTTCTCTTCCCATCCCAGTCTTTCTCATCCTATCCTTTCTCAGCAACCAAATGTACCACTAGTGAACACACAAATAAAGACTTCCTAATGATAAAAATGAATTGATAAGAGTGTTTTTGTCTTGTAACAGGATTCAGTCAGAGCAAACTCCATTCGAACAGCCTTTATTGAATAAAACAAATTCGTTAGAGCTCAGATAATAAAAAATAAATAAATGAATAGAGAAAAACCAATTAAACTAACGAAAGGAACAAACGGTTCAATATTTCATCTGAGGGGCTGTTTGGTAACGATTGAAGTGGCTAAACTGAATGAGACTTTATTGCTTTGTTGATCAAGACCCATCCAATCAATATTCAATATTTCACCTAACATACGAAAGTCTTTTGATCAAATAGCTTCTCCCATCCAATCATCAAATGCTCGGATGATCAAGACCCACTATCAGTATCAGATGGGTATCAATTAAAACAGTGGCCACACTAACACTAAGTCACCAATGACGTAACACGTACTCGGACTAGTTTGTTGTTAGGGATTTCTTGGTATTGAAATGAGCATCTTTTTCCCAACCGTCCAATTGTATGGCTGATTTTTAGGTACCCAATCCAATTACTAAGATGGTGTATGAGAATAAGTTATTAAAGTATTAAGAAAAGAAAAAAAAAAAAAAACTATTCAGCCCAATAGAGTAAGAGGGTTTGAGGACGTGGGATAAAATCTAAGGGGGCATTCTTTTTTCAGATTTTGAGAGGGGAGAAAGTTAGTCAATGGGATTTTGGTTTTCACTGACCAAGAATTCCTTGTTCTTTTTTCAGATTTATGTGAGGGCTAGAGAAATTTCATTTTCTTGGGTACCACTTACCCGGGTAAGTGCTGCCCATCTCCTAGGTGGGTAAATAACTTTCCCACCAAAGGGGAAAGTTGCCAACACTTGAATGGGACAAAAATGCCCCTTTTAATAATGGATTTTTATGGCTAAAATGGTCATTGCCTTATTTACATGAAAAATAAAAGAACATAGGTAAATGCACTTACCCGAGTAAGTGTTTACCAGGAAAAACTTACCCAGGTAAGCATTTACCCGGGTAAGTAACATACCAAAAAGCGAACAGAGCCTAAAGGTGAAAAAAATATTATGAATATCAACCATAGCAATAACAAAAAAGAATTTAATAGCTTTATACGTGGCAATATCAAGATGAAGGGTTATTTTTCTAATTTAAACAAAATAATATCGCACATGTGAGAAGGGAGAGAGCATAGCTGCAGAGGTACTCGTGTGTGCAACCTCGTGAGAGTCCTCGTGCCTTCTCTCGTTTCTCTTTCTAGTTTCTATTATAGATATAGATTGGCGTCAATTCACATTCAGCACTACATAAGCGTTTCCTCCAATGGAGTTTGAAATACTGTTTGGTTAAGCCATTTGTCAATAAAACACTTTTCTCAGTTTGTGTGAGTCTAACCCATTGGGGTAAAAGTCATTTTGATGTTACCTCCAATAGTTGGGTGTTTTTCCACTAGTCAGCTTATGTGGTGCCTAGATGTCATAAAAGCAACAATAAATTTTTTTTGTCCTGATCTTCAAAGAGATGTCCCAGTTTTCAAGAGAAAAATAATGCAAAACATTTTGGAGATAGACGGCAATGCAACTAAACAGTCCCTAAGGCTGTCTTTGGCAACGATGCAAATGGAGTGTAAATCCTGGTTCATGGTACATTTGCACTCTGGTTCACTTTTGCTTGTGTTTGACAACATTACATTTATGCATGGACAAATGACTGAAAATACATTTTCCAATGCATATTTACATTGATGATAAGATGTAAAGTACATAGTAAAAAAGAAGTAAATTTGCATTCAAGTGGGCTTTTGATAAAAAAAAAAAAAAGCATATGCTTTATTGGAATTCGTATATACATCCATTATAGCTAAAAGTCTGTTTGGTAAGAAGGTAAATTTGTCAATATAAAACTAACCCAACTTTGCAATTTATATGGACCGTTTTACACTCTACATGTTTGCATCGTTTCCAAACGCGGCCTAAGGTTCAATTTGAAAAGAGTACAAATGCAAATATGTACAGTGCAAATACAAACAAAATATAAGGTTTTGCACTCTACATATTTGCATTTGCACTCCTTCCAAACTGTGATCCTATAAATGTTTGAGGTTTGAACACATGGCAAGTTTTAGGACCCCAAACATTTTTCTGGGTTCTATCGCCCCAAAAGCAAACTCCTTCACACAAGAACAACAACAAATGGGCCATAGGCCATAGCAACGACGCCATGACCCACAACCCAGTTCCACCTACTATGAGTACAATTAAGCTGCCCAGTCCCCAAGTCCCAACCTGTTCTGAATTTGGATTGGTCTTGGTAGGCAGTTCTAATGAAGAACAACTCATCACTCATGACCCCAGCAGCGAGCACAAGTTTACAAAGACTCAATTTGGAAAGAGTATAAATACAAATATGCACAGTACAAATATATAAAATAATACAAAATATAAGGTTTTGCATTTTATAAGGCTGTGTTTGGAAACGATGCAAATGGAGTGCAAATCCCGGTTCAGGGTAAATCCACAACATTACATTTATGCATTGACAAATGACAGACCAATGTATATTTATATTGATAATAAGATATAAAAGTACATCAATTAAATAGAAGCAAATTTGCATTCAAGTGGGTTTTTTTTATAAAAAAAAAAAAGAAAAAGCATATGCTTTATTGAAATTCATGTTTGCATCCATTACAGCTAAAAGTCTATTTAGTAAGAAGATAAATTTGTGAGTGCAAACTAACCAAACTTTGCAATTTATATGAACCGTTTTACACTTTACATATATATTTGCATTCATACTTATTTGCATCGTTTCCAAGTGCAGCTTAAGGCTCAGTTTAGAAGGAGTACAAATACAAATATATACAGTGCAAATACATACAAATACAAATATATACAATGCAAATTCATACAAAATAATACAAAATATAAGATTATTTGTATTTGTACTCCTTCCAAACTGAGCCTAATTTCTGTGGACCCCTTTTTGTTTTCCCCAATCGAAAGGATCCAGCTAATCTCTTAGCCAATATGAACCTAGAATCAAACTTTTAAAATTTCCTAAAATTTCATAGAATTTTGGGATATTTTGATTTTAATTAGCTAGACTTGAATGATATATTAGACATTCCACCCAAATTAATTTTAGCTGAAATTTTAGAATATTATGGAATATCCATATTTTTTTCAACAAAAAAAAATAGAATTGGAGCATTTATTTCAAAACAAGCAAAAATTGCTGTAGAAATATTTTGGATTTCAAAAGGATTTTTAATTTAATATTTGGGCCTGAATCCACTGAATTACTTCAAAGCCCATTAAGGCTGAACTTCAGACACTCCCGAATCCAGCCAATTGAGCCTGAATCAATTTGGGGGAAATCCACTATCCACTCAGCCCGGCTCAAGGCTGTAATAAACTGGGTCTCGTTTTGGCTGGACTTATGGACCCGTCAATGCCTTCCCCTACCACCCACAATTCAGATTTGTGAATTGTTGAGCGGGAGGCATCCACCCACAATGTTGAGGGGGAGGTTTCAGTAATTTACCCTTTCTTTTCATAAGCGTGGACGAGGAGATCCGGATTCCACGTTCCACACCAAACGCTATCTCCTACATCTCCCAAGTCAAAATACTTGTTCTTTTTTTTTATGGGCAGTCCAAATAGTTGTTCGGAACCATTGGAATCCTCTGAGAATAATTTCCCACCCACCATTTATTTCTGTAATCTCATTCTCCATTGAAAAGTCTTTGAAGTTCTTAATTGGCACTACCGCTTCTACGACCATTCACACTCTTTTTTTTCTTTATTATTATTAAAGAAAAACCATTTGTAGTTTTATATCCATAAGCCAGAATTCCATCTAGGGAAAACCAACACCTTATTTTGTATATAAATTATTAATCTTTTTATTTATTTATTGGTAATAATTGAAAACCTTGTAGCAGTGGCAGTTGACCTGCTCCTTATTGTCAAAGCAGATGAGACTGCTTAGATAAGATCAGCTGAGTTTGATAGAGATGGAATCTCAAGCTCCACTGAAGGTTCTAAGTTGTACAGTTACAGTTGGAATGGTGTCTCTTCTTCCAATCAATAGATTTGAAGCAAGAAAGTCCCAAGTCACAGAGAGAAGAAATCCCAAAGACAGACCTACACAACTTTCATTCTCCCGAGTAATTAAGCTCCGAGCTTTTCTGTTTATTCAACTTTCCGAGACCTCTCTCCGGGCTCTGCTGCAGATAGGAAACTCGATCAGCTCAGGCTCCAATGGTGGAACGAAGACATGGGTTTGCGGTGATCTGCTCAATTATCATCTTCCTGGGCCTGGTTGCCTTCTCGACGTGTATAGCTGCTGAGGTCAAGCGAACAAAGGTAAGGAAGGCGCTGCCACAGTCTGTATAGTTCTTGCTTTTCCATGGTTAATTCTCTTCATCAGTTCCTGAAAGGAGAATTATATTGCTCTTAATTAATTTGTAGGTGAAAGATATAAAGTTTCATCGAAAACTATGTTATGCTCCAACCAGCCCAGCGTTTGGGCTCGGACTCGCAGCTTTGATCTGTCTCTTGGGGATTCAGTTCGTCGGAAACTGTGTCATCGGCAAGCAGTTTTGGTCAAGAGAGAAGAAAACCGAATTGAAGGCCAGGAAACCAATAACGGTAGCAATGACTTTGTTGGTTCTCTCATGGTAGGTACTCAATCCCTTCTCCTAACCCAACACATTTCATAAATCATACTGCTTAGGATTAATCTAAGGGGCAATTGAATGAATTGATCTCCCATCAATCAATAATTCAATACGTTGGCCGGTCGTCACTTAGGTACCCGTTTGGGAACTGGGAAGGAAGACTTTTGCTTTTGGCTTTGCGAGGTGGGCCCACTCAGACTGCTGCCTGTAATTAAGCAATGTTCACGGAAAACCCAGATGGCCAAATTAGTTGTGTTTCTGTTTCAGCCATGCAAAAACTAGCTTTTCTGTGAATCTTTTTTAGTGGTTCCTCGAAAGCAGCTTAATGAAAGTGATTCAGCCAAAACTTTTGCCCTCCCAAATAGAGGAACAACCTTGTAGACACTCCAATTATCTTAGTGTCAACTGTCAACCTTCTTATGACTATGCATGCTATAGAAACATTTTCACAAGGTTCAAAATTTCGATATCGATGGCCTTTCAATACGGGGTCTGACCTGATTTAGAGGGTAGACAGACCTTAAACCGACCCCTATAAATTAATTTGAAAAAAAAATTAAAGAAAGCGAGTCAAGATAAAGTTTTCTGAAAAGTTGATAAGGTGTTTGAATCATCAACAGGGTTAGCTTCGTAGTAGCAATGGTGTTACTGGGTGCGGCTACAAGTATGAACCACAGCCAGGCCTATGGGAAAGGGTGGCTAGATGGAGAGTGCTACATGGTCAGAGATGGAGTGTACATTGGCTCAGCTGTGCTAATTCTGGCTACTGTTATCTTTTCACTTGGATCCATCTTGATGACAAGGAAGAGAGATTGGCAATGGCATGTGTAAAACCAGAGCTTTCTGGTTTGTTTTTTTTCTTGTTGTTATTCATTGAGAATGCTGATATATATACAGTCGAGTCTCCTACATTTACAAGGATAAGAAGATACAAAGAAGATAAACAGAGACTCCTAATTCAATCCTAATTGTAATCCTAACACCCCCCCTCAAGTTGGAGCATGCAGATTGTGAATGCCCAACTTGCAGAGAAAGTATTCAAATTCTCTGTGACCTAGTGCCTTTGTAAAAATGTCAGTCAGCTTAATAGTAGTCGACACATAAGCAGGACGTATGCAACAATTTTGAATCTCATCCTATACAAAATGGCAATCAACTTCAATATGTTTTGTACGCTCATGAAACACTGGGTTTGTTGTAATATGCAAGGCTGCCTGACTATCACAATATAATCGCATTGGGTTTGAATGCATAACTCCAAGAGCCAATAACAATCCCTTCAGCCATTTTAATTCACATGTGGCCGTGGCTATAGACCGATACTCTGCTTTCACTGAAGAACGAGCCACAGTGTGTTGTTTCTTAATTTTCCAGGAAATCGATGATTTCCCAAGCATAATAAACCACCCAGAAAGAGAACGTCGGGACAAAAGAAAACTCGCCCAGTCTGAATTACACCATGCATATAACTGCAAGTCACAATTTGAACGCAAGAGAATTCCTTGACCAGGATTTCCTTTCAAGTAGCGCACCACTCGCAATGTAGCCTCCCAATGTCTTTCTTGCAGTTGCTGCATGAATTGGAACAGAACATGCACACAATAAGACAACTCTAGACGCGTTGCTGAGAGATAAATAAGCCTCTCCACCAAGCGTCTGTATTGCTTAGGATTAGATAAGAAGGGCCCATCTGTCAAGGCGAGATTGTGATTCTGCTCCAGAGGAAAAGGAACAGGTTTTGCACCAAGTAATCTCACTTCAGAGATAATATCCAAAGCATACTTACGTTGAGATAGAAAAATTCCTGTTGAGTTTCGGGCAACTTCAATGCCCAAAAAATATTTCAATGGTCCCAAGTCTTTCATATGGAAACAGTCACTCAAATATTTCTTGAAGACTTGAATTGCCATACGATCATTACCTGACACGATAATGTCGTCCACATACACGAGAACAAGAACATGCACCCTGTCTCGACGAAAGGTGAAGAGGGAGTAATCTGAACATGATTGCTGAAACTCATATGTCTTCAGGGCTGCAGTTAATTTAGCAAACCAACATCTCGGCATTTGTTTCAAGCCATACAGAGATTTTCGCAACCGACATACCATACCTGGTTTATCTGACTAGAAACCCGGAGGCATTCGCATGTAGACTTCCTCATGAAGGTCACCATGCAAGAATGCATTATGTACGTCCATTTGATGAAACTCCCAATTTCTAGCTGCTGCGACTGCAAGAAAAGTACGGACAGTAACCATTTTTGCAACTGGGGCAAAAGTTTCATTATAATCAATTCCCTCAACCTGCTTGTTCCCAAAAATCACGAGACAGGCTTTGTATCTTTCCACTGTCCCATCAGCGTTGTACTTGATTCGATACACCCATTTGCATCCTATGGCTCGTTTTCCGGATAGCAAAGGCTCTACGGTCCATGTCTAATTATTCTCAAGTGCCTGTATTTCTTTCTGCATTGCATCCCTCCATTTTTCATCCTTTACGGCCTCAGCAAAAGAAATAGGTTCAACTTTTGCAATAATAGCTGCCAAGAAAGCACGATGTCGACAAGAAAAATTGTTACAATTCACATAGTTATCTATGGGATAAGGACTACCTGCAGGATGTGATTGGCCGAGTGAGTTTGCAAAGGGACGTGAAGAGGGACTCAAGCGTTGTGTGGTATGAAGCACATAATCTCTTAACCTTGTGGACTGTTGTTTTTGTCAATGCCCATGCCCCAATTGAAATTCAGAGTGCTGTTGTTGCTCAACATGCTGTTGTTGCTCCACATCACCACCCCCCCTGACATCAGAACTGTCTTCGGTTGCATTCTCTGTGGCAGCGTCACAAGAATGCATGGGTTCACCAGCATTTGCATTTGGGTCTATGTGGGTTCCTTCTTCTACATGGACTCCTTGTTCAGCGAGTTCACCTTGTTGGGTAGTCTCCATCTCGCCATTTGCTAGTCTAGGTAAGCAAGTGGATGGTACCAACACCGCATCTGTCCCACCTATTCCATAATTAAATTGACCTTGTGCTTTGTTCGGCTGTGCATCCTCCTTGTGTGCATATGGGAATTCATGCTCTAAAAAAGTAACATCTCTTGATGCAAAGAACTTGCCGGACTCTAAGTCATACAAGCTCCATCATTTCTTTTCAAAAGGATACCCAACAAAAACACACCATCTACTTCGACTAACAAATTTATCCCCTCCATGTCCATGATTGTGCGCATATGCTAAACAACCAAAAACTCGCACATTATCATAAGAAGGAGGTCGCCCAAATAGCATTTCATAGGGAGTCTTTCCCTTCAATAGAATGGATGGTGTCCGATTGATCAAATAACATGCGGTCAAGACACATTCCCCCCAAAAATCAATAGGCAAGTTAGCTTGAAAGCGCAAGGCTCGGGCAACATTGAGTATGTGGCAGTGCTTACGTTCTACCCTCCCGTTTTGTTGAGAGGTCCCGACACAAGTGGTTTGATGAATAATACCACTTTCAGTAAAATAACTATCCAAACAGACAAACTCAGTCCCATTATTAATACGGATCACCTTTACAGGTTTGTTAAATTGCCTTTGAACCATAGCAAAAAAATTTCGAAGAACTCATCCCACTTCCGTCTTATCAACCAAAAGATAGACCCAAACGCCTCTAGAAAAATCATCTGCTATGGTCAAGAAATAATGAGCACCACAAGAGGCTGTAGTTCTATACGGGCCCCATAAATCACAATGAATTAACTCAAAAATATCGGATGCTTTATTATTACTAGAAACAAATTCTTCTCGACATTGTTTAGCTCGGAAGCATGCATCACAACCCTTAATATTGTCATCATTATTATTCTTAGTGATAATAAAGGGCATCAACTTAACAATTCTATGAGAAGGATGCCCTAACCTTTGATGCCAAATATCCCACGTTCTGCTCTCTGTAGTCTTCATTGCTCTTGTTGATGTAATGCTCCGAAAATAATAGAGTCCCTCTCGCTGCTCACCCGCTCCAATCAGCATCCTCGTAGTGTGGTCCTGTATCACACGGAATTTATTAGTGAACTGGACAATACAATTCAATTCTTCAATCAATTGCGATACAGAAAGTAAATTGCAGTTCAAACTAGGCACATATAAAACACTAGTCAGTTTCAGATGATCGCCCAGTGCAACTGTGCCTTCTTTCAGAGCTATTGTCGCTTTCCCGTCTGGTAGCTCGACAGAGCACGGAATGACATTCTTGATGTCTCTCATTGACTCGAGGCTTCCTGTCATATGATGAGAGGCCCCTGTGTCTATTATCCATTTTGACAGTTTTTGCTTACCACTTAGTCGTTGACTCTCCTCTTTCTGTGTGTTCAAAAGGTTGAGTAATTTGTTCCACTGTTCACTACTTAGTCCATTTAACCCAGTCTTAGCTGCATCAATTGATTCTCCTTGAGACGCATTGCCTTGTGCAAAGGCTTTATCTGTATTGGCTTTGACTTGGCCGCCACGACCTTTTCTTCCTACCCCTGCTCCTTGTTTCTGTTCACCCTGTTCTTTTTCTTTGTTTTCAGCCATACCGACTACTGTGTCTGAAAATCCACAATCGGCGGCAGAATCGCCACAAAAGACAGAGAACCGATCTCCGAATCTCCCTAAAACCTACCGCGGAACTTCGACTCGCCGGAAATCTATTAAGGATCAGGACGTTCTGATTGAGAACGAACCCCCTAGTTCTCTACTCTTACCCACCGGAAACCTGTTGTTGAGGTAATGGACAGCCAAGACAAGTCGCGACGATAAATAGAAGATAGAACCATGGCTTATTCTTCATTAGGCTTCCTCCCTCGCGGCTGTGATGCGGCAAGGATGCCTGAAACGAATAGTCGGTCACCAATTATCTCCTCTCTCGAACTCTTAAAACCTCATCGTCATTGTCTTCAGTTCATTCTCGGTTCCCACTAGCAGTGCTCGGCAAGCAACAACATCTACTCTCTCCCGAGCCAAGAACAATTTTGACTAGGTCGAAAACATCTGGGTCGGGGTATTCGCCCTTGAACGACCCTTCTCCGAACTGGAGCAATAGACCCCCTAAAGAGACAATCCTCCTCGACGGTTGCGACTATGAGCATTGGCTCATCGTCATGGAATTCCCCAACGACCCTAAACCCTCCGAAGACGAGATGATTGCCACATACATCAAGATCCTTTTGCAGAGGAAGACCAAAGAACTTTGCTCCGTGCGGTTCCCTTCACTGAAACTGACCCACCGAACCCTTATGCTTCCTCTGAATTTGGTTATGTGCCTCTTCCTACTTTCGATGCCTGATTTCTTCTCCTATGATCTTAACTTGCCGGATGATCTTACCTCTGAATTTGATCCAGTCGCCGTCCCCTCAGTGTTTTACGAGTCGAAAGTCGACGGAGAACAAGCTAAAGCCGTAGAGGATGAAAGACCGAGCTCGCCAAGAAGCTTGGTTTACAGCCAAGAATCTGTCTCTGTAACCATAAAGATGGAAGACCGTAGAGGATGAAAGACCGAGCTCACCAAGAAGCTTGGTTTACAGCCAAGAATCTGTCTCTGTAACCATAAAGATGGAAGACCGGCTGATTCCAACGATGTCGGTCTACAGCTAGTGGACAGCGGGGATTCCTACTTCTCGGATGACGAATATCAAGATTGCATTGGCCCCGTCGATGGCCAGGAGTACGCTTAGGTTCTTTGGATGCCCCAGAACAGCCATTGCAAGGTCATGTGCATCGACGACACCAAGCAACTCTGTCACATACGAGGAAAGATGCACAAGAAGGTTTGGATCGCTGCCGGCGGTATTATATTGGTCGGTTTGAGAGATTACCAGGACGACAAAGCCGATGCAAGAAGGTCACCATGCAAGTACAAGCCTGACGAGTCCCAAGCTCTTGAAGGCCTATGGCGAGTTGCCTGAGAAAACCTGGCTCTGATACCATGTAAAACCAAAGCTTTCTGGTTTGTTTTTTTTCTTATTGTTATTCATTGAGAATGCCGATATATATATAGTTGAGTCTCCTACGTTTACAAGGATAAGAAGATACAAAGAAGATAAACAGAGACTCCTAATTGTAATCCTAAGAGCATGAGGTGGAGCGAAGGAAGAGGATACATGCACAAGTAGAGTACGATGGTGGAAGATGAAAGGGATAGACTGAGAGACAATCCAATACTCCCAAGTCTTCAACTGGTGGAGGTGAGAAGACCTAAAAAATCAGAAACAAATAAAAAAATCTTCTTAATATAGTTCTCCTGATATGTGGATCATCAATTAATGGCCACTCACCGTGATCGAGCATGGGTGGGTCCATTCACAAGCAAAATTTGACCAGGCACCATGATATATTTGTATGAGAATATTTATCTAATAAAGAAGAATAATAAAATGAGAGAAAGCGAAAGAATTGAAAATCGATCAAACGTCTGCTTAATTTGTCTGTTTTTCTCCTCTCTTCTTTGGACTTATGAGCGTCAAAAATGAGAATTAAAGAATAATTAAATGCAGTCTTAAGAGAGGAAATAGCTATATGTCTCGGTTCTATCCTGGAGAGGCTTCTACCAAAATAAATAAATAAATGGAAGAAGAAAAAAACAAAGAAAAAAGTGGCTTCTCCACCAACATCAAACTTTGCATTGTTTTTAAAGACTATTAGTTGGGATGGATGTGATGTATGGGCTTTGTTACGCAAAATTAAAGTAGAAAGAGCCTTATGACCATGGTTTTTAAAACTAAACCGGTGATCAAATCGGTTAGGGGTTTGGTTACCGGTTTGAACAGTCTGATTGTTCAATCCGAATGGTCGGCTCATTCTAACAAAATAATTAAAAAATAAAAAAAATTGAAAAACGTTCAAAACGGTTTGAACGGTTAACCGACCAATTCAGCAGTTTGTTGACCAAAATCAATGATTCTGAGGAAAAAATTGGTTTTTTGGGGAAAATGGAACCTGTCAGGTCAAGTGATCGGTTCCGGTTTTTCCGATTTTTCCGATCCGGTCCAGTCCGATTTTGAAAACCATGCTTATGACATTTTGAACTAAGACAAAAGCCAATTCAAGTATTATATATATTTTTAAGTTATATTTATTTGTTCTTACCACAATCCAAATTGAAACCATGGTAAGAGTGGCTAATCTCGTATGTAAGGATGTCAATGGGTCAAGTTAGAGTTTTGAGTATTTAAACCCAAATCCTGTGAAGTTTAGCTAACATGGCCCATTATTGGTCATAATACCTCTACCATATAAAGAGTATTCTTATAATGTGGTTTGACTTCTAACCCCCTAACTTTAAAGTTTATGATTTATTTCAATGTTTATTTTAACCCAAATCAGGTTTAGGGCTAAGTTAGAGTTTTGATTATTTAATCCAAATCAGGTTTAAGTTTGGGCAACTCCCGCCCATTGGGGCATAATACCCTTACACATATAAAGGATATTCTTATAATTTGGTCTGACTTCTAACCCCTAACCTTAAAGTATATGATTTATTTCACTATTTGTTTTTGTTTTGTTTTTTTTCTCACTTTGAAGAAGCAATACCTTGGATGAATCGAGTGGAATCTCAGCCTTACTAGAGTAAATTCTTTTTATGATTTTTAGTTGGAATTGTAGAGGGTCTGCTAGGAAGGATGTGTTGAAGAATATTAGAACTTGAGTAAAAAGCAAGCACCGGATATCATTTTTCTTTCAAAAACTAAAAATTCTGATTTAAAAGTCCAAAATCTTATTAGACGATTAAGATATCCTAATTACTTCTTGGTGCCTCCTGAAGGATTAGTTGGTGGGTTAGCAGTCTTTTGGAAAGAAAATATAAAGGCGAATATTTTGAATGCTTCATCAAAGTATATTCTTTTATCTGTTAACTTATGTTGGAACCCCATAGAAAGGAAAAATCTAAATTTTGGAAATCTTTTACAGAAATGCTAGAAATGCCTTTTTAAAGTTCATTAATAAATTCCATTTGTATGAACTAAACATAAAGTTCATTAATAAATTCAAATTTTCAAAAATATCTCTTCCTCTCTTGTATTCTTTGGATTTTGTTTTTTTCTCTTCCCTTCTTTAAATGTATGGGAAGATTCATTGTCTTACATTTCTTGGGAAGGAAGTTGAGTTTGAGTATATCTATAGACTTGATCTCTCTATGGGTAGGGACTCATAGGAGGAAATCACTACACCGAATTGGTTTAAACAATTTGACTTTTGAATTTCAAAATTTGTGTCTCTTCCAATAGGTGCAGTGTTCTGAAGGGACACTTCTGTGCCCATTTGGGTGACTAAGAACAATCTATAAAAAGAGTGTTGGTCGACCTAGAAGCAGGCATCAATGCACACAACATAATTTGCTCTCTCTATCAAGTGTTAACTTTCTAAGCATCATTCTTGGTTGTTCGCAGAGGTCTGGTAAGCGAGTGCGCACCTACTAGTGGCCTGTGGATTGTTTTATCTTGGCGACCGATTTGCAATCACCCGGCTGCACCGTAGGGGCAAACGCGATTTTAAGGAGAATGACCAAGTGGCACAACTCAGTCCTCCTTCTCTCTGCAAATTTCTCAAATTTACAATTTTTCAATACTACGGTTCTACAAGTTCTCAATTGGAAAAACAATTACCGATAAGTTCCACTCTACCTTTTTATTACTTTCCAACATAAACCCATTGCCCTAAATCTGAAACACAATCAATCAATAAACCCAAACAATTTTAGATTTTTTGAATCTTGGTTGCAAGAGGATGAATGCCTTAAAATAATTACGGATGGATGGCAAGTTAGGGTTACAGGTTTTGTTGGTCATAGGATAAATGTTAAGATAGATGGTATTGAAAAAAACTTAAAACAATTGAATAAATGGGTGTTTGGGAATATGGACTAGAAAGTTGAATGCGTTAATGAGAAATTGACAAATTAGAAGAGGAGCAGGATTCAATGGAAAATTTTACCATGATAAAACAACTAGAAAAGTTGAGGATTAAGTGGATGAATCAACAAGAATATTTATGGATGGAAAAATCAAGACAATTGTGGTTTTAAAGTGTGGTGATTCAAATACTATTTTTTTTCGTAAAGCAACCCTATTCAAGAGACATAGGAAAGACATAGGAACACAATCTCTTGGATTAAAGATGAACAAGGAGAATGGATTTTTGATCATGAAGAAATTTCGAGGAATTTTGTGCAATATTTCAAGTCCGTGTTCCAATCTCAAAGATAAGGCTTGTACCCTATGGTCACAAGGGCGGCCAAACCACTCTAGGGTTTTATCTTTCTATTCTCTAGGTTTTGTCTTAACCCTATGGCAAACCCTAATACTGGACTGAACCTTGTGATCTAATACTACACCAAACCCTAATAGTTTTCTCCTCAACATTGATCAGTTTTAGGGTTTCATAATAACCCTACTACAAGCCTTATCCGTACGATACTGTCTGGAGTGTACAGCTGAGAATTTGCTTTTAGGAYTGATTAAAACCCCAATTCGGTTTAGCATATCAGATTGTTCTTCAAACTGTTTTTCTGTTTTCTTTGGGGTTTTTGAACTCTTATAAGGGGGTGAAAACAGTTCAAACTTTTGCTGTTGTGTGTGGTTATTGGTTTATATCAGTTTTATACCTGTTTCATGCACATCTACTATGAGTACAGATTGGTTCTATACTGATTTTGTGATTGTGGTTGATAGTCCAAGTGTCTTTTTTTACTGTAGTAGCCCTAATTTTGAGACTTTTGGTTCTTGACCGAAATGGAGTTTAAGAATCAGGCAGAAGGCAGTTTTGGGAACAACAGTTATGGTAGTGGTTCTGAGACAGGTTTTCAGATTACAACCATAAGATTTGATGGATCAAACTATTTGGAATGGGCCCAATCAGCCATGATGGCTATTGGGGGAAGGGGCAAAGTAGGGTATCTCTTGGGAGATGTGACAGAGCCTTCCAAGGGAKACCCTATGTATACCAAGTGGGTCCAAGAAAACTACTTGGTTATGACATGGCTATGTAATTCTATGCAGCCTCATATCAGTCGAAATTACTTGTGGGCAAAGATAGCCAAGGAGATATGGGATGTGATGAAAGAAACTTACTCCCAACCCCTTAATGTTGCCARAGCATATGAATTGAAATGTGAGGTGAATACCCTTAAACAAGGAGAGAAACCGGTTTCGGTCTACTTCTCTACCTTGAAGTCCCTGTGGCATGAGATTGATCACTTAGAGACTCTTGAGTGGGAGAGTCCAAAAGATGCTCAGACCCATAGAAAGCACATCGAGACAAACAGAGTGTTTGAGTTTATGGCATGACTGAATTCAGAGTATGATATTGTGAGGCAGCAGATTTTGACCAGAGATAGTGTGACCCTCTCTCAGGCATACTCCTTAGTGCACAGTGAAGAGACCAGGAGGAAAGTCATGATGCAACCTCAGCCGCTTACACTTGCCTTGGTAGCTTTTAAACCCAAAACAGGGGGTGATTCAGAGAGGGTCAGAAAGAAGGAAGATAAAAGGGATGTGGTGTATGAGCATTGTAAGAAACATAAACACACAAAAGAAACATGTTGGAAGCTGCATCCACATTTGGTCTCGGCAAAGTCGAGAAACAAAAAGGGTAATGCTCATGTGGTTGTGACTACTGATTCAGCATCCTCGTTTGGTACAAGAGGCACACTCTTAGAGACCTTAACTGCAGTTCGGGCTGCTCTAATACAATCGGAAAAGGAAGTTGGTAGTTCAGCTCAGTCACCACAGTCATCATCAACCCCTGCCACATCGGCCTTTGCACATTCAGGTACTCGAGCCTCAGCCTACCATGCCTCCGCTCCAGGTACTACTGAACCTTGTTGGGTAATAGATTCAGGTGCATCCGACCATATGACTAGCTTGCCCTCATTGTTTACTACTTATCACTTATCTTATGGTGGGATAAAGTATCTATTGCTGATGGCTCTCTTGTCCCTATTTCTGGCAAGGGTGACATCAAACTGTCGGATATTATCTCCTTGTCTTCTGTCTTGCATGTTCCTAAACTTGATACTAACCTTCTTTCCATTAGTAGTATTACTAAACATATGAACTGCTCAATAACTTTCTTCCCTGACCGATGTGTTTTTCAGGACCTGGAGATGAAGAGGTGATTGGGACTGGCCGTGAGACGAATGGGATCTATCTGCTCGGGGAGAGTTCTCGTCGGGAAGAGTCAATGGATAAGAAGTTATTTGTTTCTTAGGTTGTGAGTCCGGTTATGCTTTGGCATAACCGATTGGGTCATTTGTCTTTTCGGTCCTTAAAGAGTTTGTTTCCTACTTTGTTTGGGTCTGTTGAGTCGTCTCAGTTGAAATGTGAAAGTTGTGAGTTTGCTAAACATTGTAGAAACTCTTATTCATTGATTAATAAAAGGAGTAATAGTTCTTTTGATATTGTGCATACTGATGTTTGGGGGCCATATCACATTCCTTCTATGGGTGGATACAAATATTTTTTGTTATTTGTTGATGACCACACCCGGTTTTCTTGGGTTTATCTTATGCGTTCACGAGATGAGGTGCCTGCCTTGACCCAAAACTTCCTCCAAATGATCCTAACCCAGTTTGATGTCAGGATCAAAGTTCTTAGATCTGATAATGCAAAGGAATACTTTGCTAAGCCATTGGCATCGTACCTTCTTAATCATGGGGTTGTCCACCAGAGCACTTGCCCTCGTACACCTCAGCAGAATGGGGTTGCAGAAAGGAAAAATAGTCACATCTTGGAGGTGGCTAGAAGTATTATGTTTACCTCCAATGTCTCTATTCGCTTTTGGGGTGATGCTATCCTTACGGCGGTATATCTTATTAATCGGGTTCCTTCCCGGGCTCTTGATATGAAACCTCCTTTTTCACTTCTATACCCCAATGATGAGTTGTTTATTATTCCCCTCAAAACATTTGGTTGTACCTGTTTTGTTCAGTTTCTCGGTCCCCATCACTCCAAGTTCGAGCCCAAGGCCTCCAAATGCATCTTTCTTGGTTATGCACAAACTCAAAAGGGTTATTGCTGCTATGATCCTGTCTCAGGGAAGAAGTTTGTATCCATGGATGTCACTTTCTTTGAAGAGACACCCTACTATTCTCAGGTCTCTCCTCAGGTGGAGAGTAGTGAGCGTGGAGATTTGGGTCATTTTCTTCAAGGGGAGTGCAGTGAGGGCAGGGTTAATACTTTTGGGGCTGTTCCTTTACCTATTCCATTGGGTGATGAGGGCTGCAATAGCGAGGGTGGTCAGGAGGATCGGGAGTTGAGAGTCTATCACAAGCGATGCAAGCAGGTTGATCCCGGTCATCAGCAGTCCCGACCAGCTCCAACCCCTTTTGCAGCTCCAAGTCCAAATATTACAGTCCCAGGGCCCACAAAGACTCCTTCCATTATTGCTACCTCACCCCCTGTAGATGACCTTGACCTTCCCATTGCCATCCGTAAAGGAAAACGGCATTGCACCACATCTACAGCCCACTACATCTCCTAGTTTTTGTCGTATGATCGCTTATCTCCCTCCTACAGGTCATATCTCACTTCCGTTGCTAATGTCCCTATTCCAAGAACAGTGCAAGAAGCTCTATCAGTCCCGGAGTGGAGAGGTGCAATGCAAGTTGAAATGAATGCCCTGTTGAAAAATAATACCTGGGAGCTAGTTGACTTGCCCAAAGGAAAGAAACCAATTGGATGCAAATGGGTATTTACTGTGAAGCACAATGCGGATGGTTCCATTGAGAGGTACAAAGCTCGGCTAGTTGCAAAAGGGTTCACTCAGACTTATGGTATAGATTACTTTGAGACATTTGCCCCGGTAGCCAWGATGACCACCATTCGGGTTCTATTATCTCTTGCAGCAAGCCACACTTGGCCTTTGTACCAAATGGATGTTAAAAATGCCTTCCTGAATGGGGACTTGCAGGAAGAGGTTTACATGCAATTGCCTCCTGGATTCTATGATACAGAGACAGGTAAGAAGGTCTGCCGGCTCAATAAGGCATTGTATGGTTTGAAGCAGTCACCTAGAGCATGGTTCGATAGATTCAGACTAGCCCTTGGGAAGTTCGGTTATGTACAGGCCCTGTCAAATCATACATTGTTCATCAAGAGGGTGGAGTCCTCTCTGACACTACTTGCAGTATATGTTGATGATATTGTGGTGACAGGAAATGACAGCCATGAGATTTAGTCCCTCAAACAACTCCTTATCAAGAGTTTGAGGTGAAAGATCTGGGTACACTATGGTATTTTTTGGGTATTGAGGTTGCTAGATCTAAACAGGGGATGTTTGTCTCTCAAAGGAAATATGTTCTAGATCTGTTGGCGGAAACTGGAAAGTTGGGTGTCAAACCTTCGGATACTCCCATTGAACAGACCACAGGATTAGTGCAGAGAGTAGGGAGCTACTTGAAGACAAGGTTATGTTCCAGCGGTTAATGGGAAAGCTCCTATATCTATGCCTCACTCGGCCAGATATCAATTATGCAGTTAGTGTTGTCAATCAGTACATGCCCGGGTAGAGGTATATTGTTCAAGAACAATGGGCACATGAAGGTGGAGGTCTATACGGATGCCGATTGAGCCGGGAATGTTGATGACAGAAGGTTTACCTTTGGATATTGTGCTCTTGTGGAAGGTAACCTAGTCTCTTGGAGGAGTAAGAAACAGAGTGTTGTATCCCGATCTAGTGCTGAAGCTGAGTACAGGTCAATGGCTAACGGAGTGGCTGAAATTCTTTGGCTGAGATCACTACTTGAGGAGTTGGGTATTGAGTATGAGAAGCCCCTGATG